TGTTTTTTTTTTTTTTTTTTTTTTTGTTTTTTTTTTTTTTTTTTTTTTTTTTTAGGAAATTACCCAAGATCGCAGGTTTTGATAAGCCTGAGCATGGAGCTGGGTAGAGAGAAAGTCTTCTGAAATTGACTACAGGCTTTACACTCACTGCCTCTTTTTCCAAACTTTCCCTGAATGGTGGCCCCAGCAAAAACAAGTCTCCCTCCTTAGTGTGGCCATGGGCGAGCAGGTGAGCCCTTTGGGTAATTCCCATGGGGACTGGATCCTGTTTAGGTGCAGAAATGTCCCTCCCTCCATTCTCATCCCACTGAGAGGGCCCTCACAGATCCCCGGGAAGCCCTGGGACCAATATGAGGAGCCCTTGCCTACTAGCTGTGTGTCTGTGACAAGAAGGCAGGAACCTCAGAGTATGAGCTGAGGAAGTCAGTGTTTGTTGGTCCCTGCTGTGGACCAGGCCCTTAGCAAGCATCTCACCAAAGTCGTCCACTTCATGGCAGCAGCAACTGAGGCTCAGGGAGCTTGGGTCACTTTCTGTGGGCGTATACATCAGAGCATGACCTTAGGCGTGGCCACTGTGTCAGGATACAGTGCCCTGGATCCTGTTGCCAGGGAGTTATTCTCTAAATTCCATGTTAGAGGCTGTATGGGTCCAGTTTCTCCCCAGGGTAAACCTTTCCTAGAAGGGATTGCTGTGTTCAAGCCTGGAGCTTCCCCTGGGGTTCCCTGGCCTGTGTCCTGACAGCTGGCAAGCAGAAATGCCTCTGACCCTGGTTGCTGCCCTCCCCTTCTGCTCCTCTCTCCACACATCATGACAGCCAGATCCTCTGACCACCCCGGATTCCACTGGCTCTGCCCCTACCTCTCCTCCAAGGTGCGCCAGGCTTGGGGTCTGGCTGCTGCTTCTCTCCCTTCGGAAACCCGGCTCCAGCCACGGGGATGCAAAGAGCCTCTCAGCAGTGGCTAAGGCTAGGTGCAGCTAGGTAGGTGCCTTTCATGTGCCAGGCACTGACCAGGACCTTTGTTGTCTCTGTCAGTTCCCTCACCCTGAGAGGTGGATGCTGTTCTCCCCTTCAACAGATGAGAAACTGAAGGAGGCAAGTTCCCCAGTTCTTGTCATGGCAGAAGTAGAATCTGCATCCAAGTGGGCACCTGAGCTCCCACTGTGTGCTGACAGGGTGTGAGAGCTTCAGGAAGAAGTAACATCTCATCTGATGACCCAGAAGTTAGCAGCCTTTTTGCTCCCCATCTCTCTCCCTCCCTCCATCTCTCTCTCCCTCTCTCTTGTTCTCCCTCTCTCTCCCCCCCTCTCTCACACACACACCTTTCACAGAGCCACAGCATGAACCCTCAGCTTTGCCTTCAGCAAACCCTGCTTCCTCAGTGGGTGTCCAGGCGCACTTGAGGCATGGAGAAACACTGAGGGACCAAGACTCTTGTTCCTTCAGAGTCCACCTTGCTCTCCTCCATGGGCCAGCTTCCCCGGGCAAAACAGTTTAACCTGTAGCTATCCAGAGATGCCTCTGAGAACCCATTCCTGGCTCAATTCAAGCTCTGGCTTCTCCACAACAATACATTAGCCTATTGATCCCACCTGTGACGACGGACCCTGTGCCAGCAACAGGAATGCAATGATAGTTAAGTCTTAGCTCCTGCTTGCCAGAGAAGGCAAGAAAATCAGTATGACAGCAGAGTATACAGAGAACAAGGAAGTCTGTGGTCCAGGGGTTAGCCCACTGAGAAGCCCTTGAGGGTGAGTGTGGGCTCATCTAATGGAAAAGGCAGGGGTGGGGAGGAAGGTATCCCAGGTGAGGTCGCTGCACAGGTAAAGGCCTGCTGATGCTGAAGAGGATGGCTCTGGGTACCTGGAGCACTGAGTGTGTGGGATGCAGTGATGAGAGAGAAGGGGAGAGAGAGAGAGAGAGAGAGAGAGAGAGAGAGAGA